AAAAAAAAGGTTTTATAATCTGCTTGTACGCAGACAAGCAAGAGCAGAGAGAAACAAAAGTGAAAAACACTACCTTTTCTTTTATTCCCGCAACTGCACTGCGCGGTCTCGGAAAAGCGCCGTTTCCCGGAGATTGCACCGGTGGATCGTCACCAAATTTGGACAGCAGGTTCATAACTTCTTACTCTTCGTTTTGAACGGTGGAGATCGGTTTTTGAGCAGTTTAAGGCTGTCTGTTCGTAAGTGACGTGAAGGGAATATTTTGGGGTGTTTTGTTGAATTGTTTCTTGTGGTTTGCCAAGATCTTGTGTTGTGATCTTGAAGATTGTTGTTTGCCTCTAGTTTGATGAACTAGAGAGGATTTCGATTGTACCCATTATCGGATTGAATAGTGGATGATTTAAGCGGCCTACGGGTCCCGTGGTTTTTTTACCCAATTTGGGGTTTTCCACGCTAAAAATCTCGTGTCATTTTATTGCTTGCTTGATCGTTGTTTGGTTGCTCTTGCTTGTGGTTATTGTTGTTGTTGATTGGACTTGGTGCTTTATCATTCGGTTAAAGTCGTCATTGTATTTGGTGGCTTTAACCACAACAAAGTGGTATCAGAGCGCCAGGTTGGTTCGTGTACCTTGTCCAAATCATGGAGACTAACACAAGCTGGATGGTTACCTTGAATGGGTGCAATTATCATGTGTGGAAAGGGAAGATGGAAGATCTCTTGTATGTGAAGGATTATTATTTGCTCGTATTTACCGATGAGAAGCCGTCGGATAAAACCGATAAAGAATGGGAGCTTTGTCACCGTCAGGTGTGTGGCTACATTAGGCAATGGGTAGATGATAATGTCCTCAAACACGTTAGTGAAGAAAAGCATGCACGGATCTTGTGGAATAAACTCGAAGAGTTGTATGCGCAGAAAACCGGGAACAACAAGTTGTTTTTGATCAAGCAGATGATGGCTTTGAAGTACCAGGATGGAAAGACTATGTCAGACCACTTGAACACATTCCAAGGAATCATTAATCAGCTGGCTGGAATGAATATCAAGTTTGACGATGAAATACAAGGGTTGTGGCTTCTTGGTACTTTACTGGACTCGTGGGAGACGTTCAGAACGTCTTTGTCTAACTCAGCCCCGAATGGAATTTGCTCCATGGATATGGTGAAGAGCAGTGTCCTGAACGAAGAGATGAGAAGAAAATCACAGGGTTCTTCTTCACAGACGGATGTCTTATTCGTTGAAAGGCGGGGGAGAAGTAAAAGCAAGGGTCCGAATGATAGAAATCGAAGTAAAAGCAAGTCTGGAAGGTATGCAAACCTTGAGTGTCACCATTGTGGCAAAAAGGGACACATCAAGAGGTATTGCAGAAAGTTCCTCAGGGAGAATCCGAATGGCAAAGGCAAAGAAAAGAAAGCTGGAGATGGTGAAGACGGTGAGAAGGTAGCGGCGGCTACCGATGACTTTCTTATCATTTATGAAGGCGATGCCGTCAATGTTGCTTGCCAGGAGACTAGTTGGGTGATCGATAGCGGTGCTTCAATTCATGTCACATCGCAAAGGGATTTCTTCAAGTCCTACACTTCCGGTGACTTCGGAAGTGTTAGGATGGGAAATGATGGTATTTCTAAGGCAGTTGGCATGGGAGACGTGCACTTGGAAACTGAAAATGGCAACACCTTAGTTTTGAGAGGTGTGAAGCATGTTCCCAACATTCGCATGAATTTGATATCTACCGGCAAGCTCGATGATGAAGGGTTTTGTAACACCTTTCGAGACGAAAAGTGGAAACTCACGAAGGGATCCTTGATTGTGGCGAGAGGGCAAAAGTATTCTTCATTGTACGTGATGAACGTGAAGATTATGGATCATATGATCAATGCGATGGATGACGAACGCACTGTGGAACTTTGGCACAACCGACTTAGCCACATGAGCGAGAAGGGTTTGACAGTGTTGGCCAAGAAGAATCTCCTCCCAGGTGTGAAAACGGGTTTTCTGAACAAGTGTGCTCATTGCTTGGCGGGGAAGCAAACCAGAGTTGCCTTCAAGAGAGTTCCCCACTCACGCAAAACAGGTATTTTGGATATGGTCCACTCTGATGTATGTGGTCCAATGAAGACGAGAACTCTTGGTGGTGCCTTGTACTTTATGACTTTCATCGACGATCATTCAAGAAAGATTTGGGTGTATATGTTGAAGTCAAAACATCAAGTTGTAGACGTCTTCAAGCAGTTTCATGCTCGTGTGGAACGAGAAACATGTGTGAAGCTTAAGTGCATCCGAACTAAGGATAGCAGCGGTTCGGGTTCGGATCGGATGGAACCTCAGGGCACCCAAAACCAAAACCCAAACTTAAAAACCAAAACCAAAACCAAAACTGTTTCGGGTGAAAATCCTTCACCAAAACCAAAACACGCGGATACCCAAAAACCAAACGGATACCCAAAAAACCAAAAATATTATAATAAAACACCAAAGACAACAACATAAAACATGATAACTTAGAGAGTACCAGGCAACCAGTCACAAATTAGCAAGTACCAACGTACAGTACAAGCCATAAAGGTAGTAGAGTACATAGCTAAGCCAAGCCATCACGGGAGACGGGGAGAGGATAAGAGGGAGAGGAAATTTCCACTTATATAGCTGGGGTTTTTGGTGGGCTTTTTGATGGGCCGTCTATTTTGGGCACCCAACGGAGCACCACGGGCGAAATATAGGATCCGCACCAAAACCGAAGACTTTTGGGTACCCGAAACCGCAAAACCGTGGGTGAAATTTGAGAACCAAAATTGAAAACCGCAGAACCAAAAACTGCAGATATCCGAACCAAAACCGAACCGCTGCCATCCCTAATCCGAACAGATAATGGAGGTGAATACTGCGGCCCGTTTGATGAGTATTGTAGGCAGCAGGGTATTAGACACAAAAAGACACCTCCGAAGACTCCTCAGTTGAACGGGTTAGCTGAGAGGACGAACCGGACACTAGTTGAGAGGGTGAGATGTTTGCTTTCGCAGTCACAGTTACCGAGGTCCTTTTGGGATGAAGCCTTGAGTACAGTGGTGCATGTTTTGAATCTTACTCCGTGTGTTCCATTGAATTTTGAGGTTCCAGACAGGATGTGGTCAGGAAAGGAAGTTTCGTACAATCACTTGCGTGTTTTTGGATGCAAGGCCTTTGTTCATATTCCGAAAGATGAGAGGTCGAAGCTCGACATGAAAACAAGGCCATGTGTGTTCGTTGGTTATGGCCTTGATGAGTTTGGATACAGGTTCTATGACCCAGTGCAGAAAAAGCCTGTAAGAAGTCGAGATGCGGTGTTCGTAGAAGACCAGAGTATAAAAGACATCGATAAAGCCGAGATGACAGAGAAGTACAATGATGATCTGGTTGATTTAGATCCAGTCCCTATACCTACTGTGTATCCTGATCAAGGGGGAGCGACGCCGGATATTGATGTTGGTCCTGCAAATGGTGATGTCCCCACAGTTGATGATGTTGAGCCAACTGATGAAGTTGAAGAAGGGGTTCAAGAACCACCAGAAGAACCTATTTTGAGGAGATCCAGTCGAGAGCGGCGTTCGTTGACTAGATACTCCTCAAATGAGTATGTGATGATCACCGATGCCGGAGAGCCAGAAAC